ATGGGATTTGAATGACTGGTCTTGATTGGATTCATAGGGTAGGGCTTAAATAGACAATGATACGGTCAAGGCTGAAACTGTTAAAATAATGAGTTATGACTTCCTGCTGATTTTGGCCAGAGATTTGCCTGCGGTGGAGGCTATGTGACACATCAGGGCACTGGGGATTTGTGGAGATTACAGCTGGAAGCATCTTTTACCCTGAAATGCGAATTCAGTCATTGGATAGGCTTGTCTGTCGAAGGCTTGTTTCAGGCATTTACAACCTCTCCTCTCCACTGTTCCAGAGTTGCTTCTATTTGTCGTGTAATGACTTTTTCTTGTTCATTTCTTCCCTTTTGATAAAAAAATGGTAGCGATTGTGAGATTATGAACACATATACAGAAGCAGCAGTGACAAATTAATTTAGAATAGTTTGGCAATTATCTAATTGTAAAAGAAATTGGAATTTTTTTTTCTCCCGCATGGTTTGAATTCCATCCTCATCCAAAGTTATCTCACATTCAAATAATTAGCTATTAATCTCATTGTTTCTGGGCCTTTGCTAATGCAAATTAGCTACTGATTTACCTCCATAACAACATTCATTATGCTTCTAATTAATCCCATCAGTAAAGCACTTCTAAATCTTTTCTAAATGAAAAACGCTATATAAATATAATTTATACTAGTGTTTGGTCTAGTTTATACTGCTGGACATGGTGTAACAGAATTGAGGAACTGGATACTGGATAAAAGCTACTTTTATGTGAACATGAATTTGCGCAACTTGTTTTGCCTATGATCTGTTGGATATTATTTCAAGTGTTCAGAGCACTAGAATGGACAGGTTGCATACTGCTTTACCATCTGACCAAGTCAGGACTGTGAGCTCCTCGTCTATCTTGATTCACTGGTCCAATGTTGGGGAAACTGATTGTTGAAGGCACTATCTTTAGATGAGTAATTAAACTGAGGTCCCGTCTTGCCTGTTTAGATAGCCGTCAAAGACCACATGGTTCTATTTGAAAAGGTGAGTTTCTCCCAGTATCCTGGCCAACAATCATCCAGATAAAATTGTTCATTCTTTTCATCGCTGTGTGTAAATTGGCTGTCTACACTATACTTTGCAGAAAAATTCTGTGAAGTGGCTCTGAGATGTTTTGTCGACATAATATTAAATGCAAGTATTATAATAATGCTCAACTGGATATTGCCTTAAAAATGACTGCTTTGCGGGGATGCTGTATTCTAGCCATGGAATTATTTCTAGAAAATGATATATTGTGGAATAGAATACTTTCTGCAGTTGAGTCATGCAATTTGCCTTAATGTGTAGCTCCATGGTTCCATTCGAAGTCCAAATGTTTGAACCTTCTGCCAACTCTGCTGGTGATTGTTGTGCTGGAAAAAACTCCTTTCTTGGTGGTTCTGTTGCCTTCAGCAGACCAACAATCAGTTCCATTGCAATTTACTTCCATGGTTTTGGCAATGAATGGAGATGGGATAATTCCAGTTGTCATACTGGGTTAAGATAGAGTTTCCCATCTGCAATGGGTTTACCTCAACATAGCAGATGGACAAACTAGTTGAGATGACTTCATGTAGTTGGTATAACATGCTTTTAATGCCAAATGAGAAATTCCTTTTGCAAAACTCTGTTCACTGCACAACATCTCTGTTTAAAACAAGGAGCATTCCAGAGATGGAGGGCTTAATCTTGACAAATGGTTCTCTGTGCAGCAGATTGTGTTAATCAACAAGAGCCGGTGCTGTCAGTTTACAAACAATTAACAGACCATGGAGAAAATAGCATTTTGTGCCATTTGATAATGAGGTGAATCAAAGCCAAGGTTCAGTTGTCTTTGTCATTGAGATTTCTAATCTGAGACCATTATAATTGGAGTGTACTTTAGTAATGCTTGTGAAGTACTTCAAACAAGTATGTTTTCAACATCTTATTCTCAGGTTATCATTTGCTGGAAGTAAAGCTGGAAAAGTTATATTTTAGACTAGAAGTTTGAATAATTTCTTTCATATTGTGTATTTGTTAACTCTTCCTCTCCCCCATGTAATTCCTGAAGTAGTGATGTCTGTGCTATACAAATGTAATTTTGTTGTTGTGATACATGCATATCTTCCAATTCACTGCTACCTGAAACCTGTTTGATCATGTTAGAAAGTTGTGTGGAGGTACAAAGCATAACCTTGCTCTGTCTGCATGGCTGCTCTCATCTAAATGCAAATTAGGTTTTCTGTGGTTCCCAAGAAAGACCAGTGTCTCTTGCATATTGCTGCTAGTTTCAAATGGAAGGATTCCTTGTGGGCCTGTTTTATGAGTGGGTAGGTATTGGGTTCGTTTCCTTGAACATTTCACTGGGACATGGAGCATAAGTTTATGTCAACAAACAGGCCATAAATAAACTTTTGAAATCATTCTGGCGTCATTTCTATTGTGAAATTGCCAGGTTTGTCCAAATACAGAATTGAGTTGCAATCTGGCACCTAATTTTCAAAGGCAGATAAGGGGAACAAGAGATAAATTATTTTAACACGTTTCTTTTTTGCGATTTCATACAAGGAAGGAGTCAATTGAATCGACTGGCTAGGAAATTAAGTTCATATTGCACCTGTTACAGGTCAGAAGGAGGGTTGTCATTGCAATTTTTCAACTAGATTCATCCAACATACTTAAAACAAACCAGGAGAACTGATCCAGTATGTCTGGACATATCCATTTGTATTATTTAAATTAGGCCAGTTTGCATCGCCTCAGGATGGCAGTGAACCTCAGAAATGAGAAGAAAATAGAGATTTGCGATGAAAGATTCAATGTTTCTTCGTATTCATACAGTAAGGTTGTGATACTGAATGGAATTTCAATCTACTTGATGCTAAAGGCAGAGGCAAATCCATGAATTTCATGCCTTGTAATGCAGTTACTGAAAAATTCTCTTTGTATTTGGTACAGTGTGACACAAGCAGTGCCTCCCCTAGAGGGCTCGGTATTCTAAAAAAAATCCTTGCATTTGATATAACACTTTATCATGTCTTTGAGACGTCTGAAAGTGCTTCACAGAAAATACTGTAAAGTAAATTGACTGTATATTTTTGTGGGCGAAATATTTTTATGATGTGAAATAGGGGAGCTATGGGCTGTGGTGCTTGGGAGCCAATCAAGGAGGGTGCTCGGGAGTCAATGAAGGAGGGTTGGTTGCGGTGGGAGGTAACCAAGGGGGATTGGTTGGGAACCAATCAAGGGGGGATGGTCGGGAGCCAATCAAGCGGGGTGTTCGAGAACCAATCAAGGCGGGGGTGGTCAGTAACCAATCAAGGGGGGTGGTCGGGAACCAATCGGGGATGCTCGGGAGCCAATTTGGTGGGGGGGGGTGGTGGTTCGGGAGTCAACCAAGAGTGGGTGTTCAGAAGACAATCGGGATGGTGGGGTGCAGGGTCTTTGGGAGCCGATCAAGGAGGGTGCTTGAGAAATTTTCAGATTTCCCATACAACCAGTCCGAATAAGTTCCGACACCAAAGTTTGAATCCAGCTCAGTCAGAACGAACAAAAATCTTCTTGTTGTGGGTTTGAGGCTTCTAAGGGAAATTGGCACTTTCAACTTACTTCTTTATGAATTCACAACAGCACAGTTCTGCCCACAAATTAGCAATTAATCAAAGAAATCTTGGGATTTTACCACTAAGTTTCTTTACTAAGCGCTCTGGAATACTACCCTGCGTGAGGGGCACTATACAAATGCAAGTTGTTGTTTTCTTCCAAGCTAAATCATTTTCAATGCTAAACTGCATACAAGGCCTTATTTTGGCCAAGTTCTTTATTTCTTTTGAACGAGCAACGACAAATATATTGGGCCTGTTAATGAGTTAATTGGACTTTTAAGTTCCAAGGCCCCGAGGTGATAAATGTATATATAGATATAGATAGATGTCATGTGGAAAATTAAATGCATTCTCTGAGAATACAAAATGCAGTACTGTAGGTAGGTAATACACAATTGTTTGCTATTCCCATGGTTTTTCTAAAATGCATATTTATAAATTACAAATCTTTCCAGAAAGATTGCACTTTTTTCGGGAAAAAACAGCATTTGTGATTTTGTTATAATTTCCTGAGAAATATATTTGTAAAAAAAACCCATATCTGGGCCTATTACCTCCGTGAATCATATTTAGACTAAGTACAAAACATGGTTAAATGCAAAGTACTGCCCGTAGAATGCTGCAGCCCATAAATAGGCCATTCGACCCCGTTGTTCTCCACTTTTGTGCTTGCTCTCCATAATCTTGTTGTGTCGTTCTCTTTTAAATATCCATCAAATTCCCTTTAAAAAATTGAATAGACTCTGCTTCAGTAGAACAGAGAAGTTCATGTTCAAATGTTACATCCTCCGTGAATATGTATTTCCAACCTCCCCTTTAGTTCTGGTGGGATGTTTCCATTTCACACAGTAGCCACTTTATAGTCTGAATGATGATGCTGATTCATGTTAAGTTGGCAATTTTGCAATCGCCTGCTTCCAAATAAATTGTATGTAGAATTCAGCCAGCAGAGATGAGACTTTTATCCATCAGTGCTGGCTGGAATTGAAGCTTGAAAGATGAAAGGGCAGTGTGCATAATCCACTGTGCTGCCAAGTATGTAAAGTGCTAGTTTTAATGTTGCACTGAGTTAACAACGCATGTCCTTCAATGTTTTTAATGCCGTCCAAAACCGTGATATGATAAACCTCTGCATTAGCTCACGTTTTCAAATGCTTTCAAAGCTGCATGGGCCTCCTGTGCAGGTGGTTGAAGGGTTAGATGAACAATTTACTCACTTATTTTACAATGTGAAAAATAAAGCTTTATATTTTTCAGAACTTGTAAGTAGGCTGCCTTGTTAGCATTCAAAGTTGGGTTCTGCCTCTTGTAAACCTTGTTATTGTGAATTTTCTGTCAATTTAACTTCACTCTGCCTTGTTCATATGGCCTCCCTATAAAATTGCCTTTTACTTTTCTACAGTTGACAAAGAGATCACTTCCTGTGATAGAGTCAGACGAGCGGCTCCAGCCACTGCTAAACCACCTCAGGTAATAAATCTCTGATGTTTATAAACAAAAATAAAGCCAGCATTTAATACTATGCTATGTGTATTATCACTACATGTGAGGTCGTAGGAAATGTTACCAAAAGTCAAATACCTTCACTGCATAAATTCACTGTATGAAATTCAGTGTGGAGAAATGTTAAGTACTTCACATGGAGACAAAAATCCTGGAAGGGACAATTATTTGAACGGAAGGAAAATAATATATATATGGAAAATGAAAAGGAGCTGGGGTCCCTGATTGACAATAAATTGAAGCTCTCCCAACAAAGCTCTATGGCAGTGAGTAAAGCAAACTAGATGTTGAGACGTATCAAAAGATCAATAGCAAGCCAAAATAATGGGGTAATCCTGCCACTGTATAAATCATTGGCGAGACCACACTTAGTACTGTGTACAGATCTGGTCACCGCAGTGCAAAAATGTTATTGGAAAAATCGAGATACAGGGGAAGGCAACCAAAACAATTGAGGGAATGGAAGGACTAGACTATGAGGAGCGATTAAGTAAATTGGGCATGTTCAAGCTGGAAAAGAGAAGATTGAGAGGTGACATGATTGCGGTCTTTAAGATTCTAAAGTGGCAAGACAACATAGATCATGACAGGCTGTTTCAACTTGTCCAGAATAGTAAAACCAGAGGACACGGCCTCCAATTGAAGGGGGGTAAATTCAGAACAAATCTACCCAAACGCTTTCAGTGAGCGAATAGTGAACCTGTGGAACAGGCTCCCTAGGGATATGATTGAAGCAGGAAGTGTTGATTCTTTCAAACAAGGCGAACTAGATGGAATTTGGTCTTTTTTCGTTATATTTGTTCTTATGTATAGCTGAAAGAGTTTCTTGAACATCTTTTTTTTGCTTTTCATTTTCACAATTTACACTTGTATAGCACCTTTCATGTATAATAATAATCCTTGCATTTCATATCGTGCCTTATCAAGTTGTTGAGATGTTTCAAAGCGCTTCACAGAATATATTGTAAAGTGGATGAGCAAAACACAGCAGCTAATTGTTACTTTTTTGGAGGGATCATTGCCCCGAGAAAGTGATCTGCCAATCGACTAACAACTGGGTTCCTACTTAATTAAAACTTATTAAGCGTCTTTAAGCGCATCATGATCTCTATGGGAATCATTGAGCACGAAGGGCGGTGGACGAGTTGAGGGTGTTGAGAAAGAAAGGTAAGGCAAAGGGATTTGGGGCAACAATTGCGGAGAGCGGGGTCATAGTAACTTAAGGCTCTCACTAATGGTGAAACAGAGAGAATGAAAAACAAGCAATAAAAGCTGAGGGTATTGGCAAATGAATAGGACTGAAGAATCAACTTCCAACTACATAAAAATCCTTTAAGCAGATTACCAATTTAATGGGATGATTGTTCACCAGGACATTGGGAGAAACTCCTTTGCTTCGAATAGTGCCATGGGGCTTTAAACATTCATTTGAACAGGCAACAATTCCTCCTTTCAACATATTATCTGAAAGATTGGAGTTCTCACAATGTAGTACTACCCCAGTACTGCACTGGAATGTCAGCTAGATTTTGGGACAATAGTACTACCCACTGAGACAGGTTAATACCCCTCATATTTTAAGTATTTTATTTGGTTACGCGGGTGTCTGTCACATGTGGAAACCTATCACCATACTTGAGAGTATCCAAACCAGACAGAGTTCCAGGTATGTATGCCACTGGTGCATCGAAATGTATCTATGCTTGGAATGGAATGCACACTTCCGAGAGGCTCACACCCTTTGCCTAATTCCAGAGAGCATTAGGTACAGGATTAGGATTAGGACAGCCAAGACTGAGACCCCAGAGAGTGTGTTCGGATATTGCTGGAGTTCAACCAGCTGAAACTGCACAGCTTGTCAAAATGAGGACTGTCAGGCATTCTCCCAGTGCCTGTCCAGCTAAGGACCACTCTAACCTTTAGGACTTTGGGTTGCCCAGTTAACAGGAGCCGAGTGGCAAGAATCACAGACCCCAGCGGTTATTTTTCCTACGTTAAAGTGTGTTTTTCTGGACCACAAGGGAAGCTTATTTCTGTTGCCGATTAATGATTGTAACATATAGAATATGGTTGGTCGAGATCACTGCCTACTTCAGAGGTCGCAGGAAAGGATGAAGTTGATAATTTTTGTGATCGAAACTGCACGTGTGTGTATAAATTGCCTACTCAAATCAGAGGTTACATATTTAAAATTTACCTTCATAAATGAAGGACAGACGACAGCCTTTATTTTTCATAGCTTCTGCTTCAACTGATTCCTATTTGACCCATTTCAGCATTTTCTAAAATGATGGTTCGTTCTTCTGTTGAGCAGACTTCAGAGACCTGCATAAAGAATGCTGTTACTTATTATCACCCAAGTCTACCGAATTTCTGTCACAGACTGAATCTCCAAACATATTCTGTGAACTGGAAGCTTGCCAGCGATCATTAGATTTATAATAAGCACCATGTTCCCTGAAATCGTTCCGCATGAGTGGTTCTGGAGTTTAGAATTCTGCTTTGATTAGACTTTGGAAATGATTAGGCATTTCTTGTGAATTGTCTCCAGTGAATCTCAATGACTCTTCAAATTGTACTGCTTGTCATTTAAAGTGCCCGTGCCCTAATTGAACAGAATGCACTTGTGTTATCTGCATTTTATAGCTCTTTTAGTACATTTAAAAAAGGCAAGCAAAACAAATAGGTAGAGGTGTGTGTGTATATATATAAAAATCTTGGAATAATAAGGAACTCCTTAAATTTCCATCTTGTTTGGTATATATGTGGGGTTAAACTTGGAGCAATTACAGAAAGTTCAAATGGAATACATTTACCACTTCTCCCATGGGTGCAAAAAATGTTCTGTGGCACGAGGGAAGCAGCCTCTTAAAAGCCCTTGAAAATATTGCTGATTGCACCATTATTGCATTTTAGAAGGGAATTCAAGAAAGCTGCTGTATCATACAAAATGTTCACACGGAGGCTATTTTTGTTTCTTTTGAGTTCAGGCTGACGCCTATACCTGATTAGTATGACTTGGTCTGTTTCACAATTGGAAATGGAAATCGCAGAGCTGAAAATGAAAAAGCAAGTGTAGACTGACATTCCATAGATGTTTTACAGCACGGAAGAAGGCCATTCGGTCCATTGTGTCAAATTGCATTTTCTGACTGGAGGGAAGTGCACAGTGGCGTCCCCCAGGGATCGGTATTGGAACTACTGCTCTTCTTAATATACATAAATGATCTGGACTTGGATATAGCAAGTACCATTTCCAAGTTTGTGGGTGATACAAATTTAGGTAGGGTGGTAAACAGTGAGAAGGATAGTAGACAACTGCAGGAAGACATAGACAGAATGGTAAAATGGGCAGACACATGGCAGATGAATTTCAATGTGGAGAAATGCGAGGTAATGCATTTTGGTAGAAAGAATGAAGGGAAGCAATATAGGCTGGTAATACAATCTTAAGGGGAGTAAAAGAACAGAGAGACCTGGGGGTTCAGGTAAATGAATCCTTGAAGGTGGCAGGACAGGTAGATAAAGCCGTAAAAAGGCCATATGGGATACCAGGCTTTATAAATAGGAGCATAGAGTACAAGAGTCAGGAGGTTATGATTAACCTATATAAAACACTGGTTAGGCCTCAGTTAGAATACTCCGCCAGTTCTGGGCGCCACACTATAGGAAGGATGTGAAGGCATTGGAAAGGGTGCAGAGGAGGTTTACAAGGATGGTACCAGGAATGAGGGACCTTGATTATGAGGAAAGGCGAGAGAGGCCGGGATTATTCTCATTGGAGCAGAGAAGGTTACAAGGAGACCTAATAGAGGTTTTCAAAATCATGAGGGGATTTTATAGGTTAGAAAAGGAAAAACTGTTTCCACTGGTGGGTGTGTCCGTGACTCGAGATCATAGATTTAAAATGGTCTCTAAAAGAAGCAGAAGGGAGGTGAGAAGAAATTTTTTCACGCATCAAGTTGTTCGAATCTGGAACGCATTGCCTGAAAGGGTGGTCGAGGCTGATTTGATAACAACTTTTAAAAACGCGGTGGACGGGTATTTGAGGAGGACGGGTTTGCAGGGTTATGGGGAAAGGGCTGGGGAGTGGGATCAAACATTACATTGCTCTTCTCAAAGAGCCGGCACAGACTTGATGGGCCGAACAGCCTCTTTTTGTGCTGTACGATTCTATGATTGATTCAATAATTGCGGGGTGGCGGTGTGGGATGTAGAGAGGGAGTGCTGCATTGACAGAGGTGCATCTCTTGTGAATGAGATGCTAAAGCTGTTTGTCTTTTCAGATGAAAGTTAAAGGTCTCATGATCTTAGCCATCAGTGGATTGACTTCTATATCCTTTTCCCTGAACTTTAAATCTCATCACAATCGGTCCAAGCATATGCTGTCTGGTGTTTTTTNCTCCAATTGAAACAAATCTAACCTGATCCCTGCCCATCTGCTCGCTGCCCATAATCTTTAATATTCCTCCTCTTCAAACATCTACCTAATTCGCTTTCAAAATAATTTATGGATCCTGCTTCAACTAGAACTTGTGGCAGCGAATTCAACCATCCAATCCCCTTTGAGTAAAGGCATTATCAATCTCCCCTTTAAAATCATTTTGTGATTATCTTAAATTTTGTGTCATCTTTTTATTGATTGGCTGACCAGTGGGCATATTCTATTTCTGCTTACCGTTTTTAACCCTTATTTATTAACTTGAAAACCCGCATCAAGTCACCCTGTAACCCTTTAACCTCAGCTCTAGTGAATAAAGCTGTAACTTATACAACAACAACAACAAGATTCCATTTATTGAGCGCCTTTCACGTCGGGAGGACGTCTCAAGGCGTTGTACAGTTGGGTCAGGACCCGAGCAAGGGGGAAATGGTCAGGGTGAGGGGAGGGAAGGGAGGGAGCGAGGAGGGGGTAGAGAGTCGAGAGGGGAGCTGAAGGCACGGTCAAAGAGAAAGGTCTTGAGACC